ACATGAATGAGTTAGATCATGATCCATAGTACATATACAGTACACTGCAATCTGCAGCAGTAGATTTACAATTCTCCCCTGCTAACATGAATAGGTTAAGTGATCCATAGTACAGCTACATGTTATGTACTATGGATCATGATTTTATAAAATAAAAGTCAGATATAAAAAAAATGGGAAAAACCTGTCAGTGTGCCTTTGCTATTATATAGGGCAGTGATGGTGAGCCTTTTTGAACCAGAGTGCCCAAACTGCGACGCAAAATCAATTTATTTATCTCAAAGTGCCAGCGCTGAAAATAAGTTTGGTATTGCAGTTTGGGCGCTCGGGTTTAAGAAACGTTCAACATCATTGCCTAACGGCCTTCTACGGCTCTCACGGGGGACCTGAACATCCCGGATCGCCTCTGTAGTCGGGCCGGGCACAATCGGGCAGCGGCGGTGACCTCTAAACAGGCAGATTAGACGGCCGCTTGCGGGGGCCTCACTGGGTCCTAGCGAGGAGGAAGCCGCCGTCTAACCTACCTGTTTATTGGCTGCCGCTGCCTAATGGTGACTGGCCCGGATCGCATACCAAGGCGATCTGGGTCAGTCGGATTTATTTCATTTTATTCCCCATGGATCCTGCAAAGCCCACCAAAAGGTATTGCACAGCCCACCTGTGATTCTTTGGTGGGCTGTCTTTGGTGGGCTGTGCATAATCTATGGTGGGCCCTGCCAGCACAGTGCTCCTACCTTAAACGGAAAGCCCAGCCTTCACTGCTGCCTCGGCGCCCAATCTTCTCAGCTTCGCCGCTCGACTGGCCCCTTGGTGACGCCTCCTCCATCGTGGTCTCTGCCTTTGCAGTCTTCACAGCCCTCTTCCATCTCCCCCTGTCTCATGCCGCTCTTAATCATTTTAGGGCCATCAATCACTGATGACACTAAACTGATGAGCGGTAAAAGCTTTTAAAGCGTCGCCATACAATTTTGGGTATTATCAGTTTTTGAGGTTTTGCGTGCGCACGCAATTTTAAGGCTTGACATGTTTGGTGTCTTTTTACTTGACGTGACCCCCGTCTTTTATATTTTACCAAAAAATTGGGTAATAATAAATGTTTTATCATTTAATATAGGGGAAACTGTTTTTTTTTATTTTTTTTTTTTAACATTTCGGTAATTTTTCCTTTTTAATATAGTAAAAAATAAAAACCCCAGTGGTGATTAAATGCCACCAAAAGAAAGCTTTATCTGTCCCTAAAAAAAATTCTATAAAATTTAATTTCAGTACAGCGTTGCCTGACGGAATAAATGTCAGTCAAAGTACCGCAGCGCTGAATACTGAAAAATGGCCTGGATGGAAAGGGGGTTTAACACCGCGGATGTCAACTGGTTAAATGATCCATAGTACACTTCCAGTACACTGCAGCAATAGCGTTACAATTCTCCCCTGCTAACATGAAATAAGTTACATGATCCATAGTACAACTACATGTTATGTACTATTATGTACTATGGATCATTTAACCTATTCATGTTAGCAGGGGAGAATTGTAAATCTATTGCTAAAGTGTACTGGAAGTGTGTGCTGTGTATATATACTACATATACAGTACACTGCAGCAATAGATTTACAGCCAGCCCTGTCCCAGCTTCCTTCACTCCGTTTCACTCCGATCCCCGTTGCCTCACTCCGTGCCCTAGTAGTCGGCTCTGGGCAGGATCGCTGCATTGTGTCTCTGTGCTCAGCTTGTGGGAGGCGCTCCAGGTGGGGTCCTGATGTAGCTGCCTGGCACACTGCCCAGAGGACCCCAACACGTGTGGTAACTCTGGGCAGCATGAAGCTACCAAAAAAGAAAAAATGTATAGCGTAAGTATCGGTGCTATGTATCGGGGCATTCTCACAAGTATAAGTACTTGTGAAAATGCTCAGTCCCAGTTCCGATGCTAGTTTTGGTATCGGGACATCCCTAGTATACAGGCCTAAATTCTAATATGGTCCTCTAAAACGAAAGATTTGGCTCTACATACAAGTGTATTTACACTTTTGCAGGCAAAATTGAGAACCCCCACGGTTTGTGTTCATAATCCTGCAACATAGCTAACATTTAAAAAAAAAAACAAACTTACTTTTTTTTTTTTTTTTAAAAGAGCTCTCCATTTAGCTAGCCTTTGCATGCTCCCCTCGGTTTCAGTAACCACAAACTGACTGTCCTAATAGATGTGTAAAGACTGAGCTCCCCCTCATTAACATATGTTGACATATTTTCTCAGAACAAAAGAGAAAAATGGGGGCTTTTAAAGTGTCCAGACATCCGACATGTCCATCAGACATCAGAAATAGGTTTAAACCGTCCTTCTATATCAAAACACAATCGGTACACTGCAGGCTCCACCCGATGTATGTTGCGTCTCTGCATGACTTCATCAGGGGTGACTGACGCATGGTATAGAGTTCTAGCGCGGCACATTGCTAGTATTTTCTAGTCCTTCATTTGGGTCAGTGCTCGCTGCTTAGCTGCATGCATATTCATCCAATGTGAATGGAGGCAAACTTAAATATTCTTAGCAGAATTATTTTCCAGGTTGAATGCAATATCTGGAAAATGTCTTTTTTTTTTTATAGGGAAATGTGTTTTTTTCTCCCCCCCCCCCCTACTCCATCTAGTGGCCATAATACAGTACTTTCCTGATATTACTTGACACATGGAAATTTTCTAAGCACAATTGTTTGTCTTTGTCTCCATTTGCACAGAATGAATGTGCATGCAGTTTCCCAGTACTAATGGGTCTGCAAATTCTTAAAAATGCACCCCTATGTGTGGGTTTTTTTTTTTTGGCAAATGTATGTACAAACGGAAGAATACATGTCTGATTAAGGCAAGAGGTGGATACAATTCTCTAAGACTGCTTTCTAATCAACCTTAAATGCAACATTTGTAACATTCATGACTGCTTTTTTTTCAGCCTGCATGTATTGGCTTTTCTGGCATCACTCTACAAAATGTAGACTTTGCTGAGTAAGTTGCGTACAGCACTCTTAAGCTATGTTTATACGTTCCAGGCAAACACAGACCCATTTGTGGGGAAAGGTAAATGAGTATATTGTTTTAAATTTACCTTTTAGTGCAAAAAGGATGTGTAAACCACTACTGATGAAGTGATTCTGGTTTCTTTGAAAGCATTGCTAATTCAAAGGTTTAAAAGACGGCATAAATAAGAGGTTCCCCCATGTGGTCTTCTCACATTTGGTTTAGTGCCAGCCCATTTCTTTTTCACTAAATTCACAAGCCATCTACAGTTGAATAAAACACTAATTGTTATGAAGGTAACCTTCAAGATAACTGATCTTCTTTTCAATTTTTTGTATAATGTGGGATGATGTCATTTTGCGTGTTCAGTCAGAAAGCCAGTTTGTCTGCATTTGCTGCATATGTTCAACTGAAATTTATAGCTTCCTATCCTTGCATAGGCATTTTTTTTAATCATATGTCATGACCTCAAGTAAGGTGGGCACAATGTGCATTTTGATAGCGCTTGTTGCCAACCTGACAACATGGTCTTGAAATGTATCCAGTTTGATTGTTGAGCATTTGATACTTTGTGTTCTATACAAGTCGCTTCTCACTTCCCAGCCACCAGCCTTTTGACTAATTTAGTTTGCCTGCTTGTGTTTTAAATTGAAAGGGCTCTTGGTTGTGAAGTATTGGTGTAACGATACAATTGAAGATTAGCCATAATTTACTAAACAATATAATTTCCCTGTGGTCTTATAAGATTAATCTTGCCGTCATCTAAATAGCAGAACATTTCAGTGTACTGTAAAAAAAAAATGAAAATCCAAAAAAACTGTCGCGATGAAGCTGAACTCTAGGCAGACAACAAAATACACAAATGAAATGCATATATGAGAGCTGTTTTACTCGCCAATGAATGTGGTCAATCTAGTCCTGAATCCTGAGATTCAGCAAAGCTCTGTCTGGCAGAAGAGGGAACTCAAGCAAATTCATTTGTAGTTTAGGCATGTAGTCTTGTAAAGATATATTACCATGCACTTGTCTGATCGCCTCAGGGGTGTGGAACTTTAAAAAAAAAAATCTACTTGTCCCTCATGACAATCTACTTCTACTACCTCATGACAATCTTTTTTAACCGTGCTAAGTGCCCCTCATTGTCAGAGCAGTGAGGTGACTCCACTGACCAACGAGTGCTCGCAATTGGACGGCAGTATGAGTACAGATACCCTTCAGTGAATGGTCTATCCCCTCCAGTAAGTAGATTGGGGGGCGCTCGATTTGAGGGTAATTCCATTTTCCCAAATTACTGGGGAAAGTGAACTTGCCCTTTAATGCACATCGTGCATGTGAGAGCGATGCTGCCCGGCCACCACAATATGGCTCGCAGTGGAATGGGGGCAGCACTCTGCATCTACAAACGTGTGCACACATGCGTTTTCATAGAATAAGTCAAGCTCAATTCTATTTCACCAATCAGGCAACATAGTCTTGAAATGTCCAGTTCGATTGTTAAGCATCCGATACTTTGAAGAACGATGGAACTAAAGTGCTAATCCTTTTTCTCTTGCTGATTAAGCTCATGTGTTTCAACAAGCTTGTAGCTTATGTCTGTAAAAAAAATAAGTCAAGGCAACTGGACTTGCTGTATTTTTCTTGGACGTTTCACTGGTCATTTTGGATGACCAGTGAAACATCTTGAAGAAAAATCCTGCAAGTCCAGTTGCCTTGACTTTAATTTTTTTAAAGATATACCATGACCTGGATGAAAGAGAACCTTCATAGACCCGTGTAACAAGAGAAGTTTATCCCGATTTGGCTGCAAAAGTTGAAATACACTAAGTGCCAGGAACACATGCAAAGTACCCAATTTGTGACACTGTGTAAAGGACTGAAGTGCTCATGTAGTTCAGGAATTATACTCCTTGCATTTTGTTTTTTGATTTTTATATCCGTTTGATGCAATTTTTGTTTAGTAAATGTGTTTTTTTTCTTTCTTTGTAGATGATGATGTTGACCTAGAGGCTCTTGTGAATGATATGAATTCGTCACTTGACAGCTTGTACTCTACATGCAGCAGGGTATCTGAATCTGTGCCACTTCTTAAAAATGGTCAGCTTAATCAAAGCCAGCTATCAAACTCAGGAACCAATACTCTTCCGTCCATGCAACAGAGACAGAAGATGCAACGCTCCCAACCAATGCAAATACAAGCAGTCAGGTTTGTAAATCTCATGAGCATATTTAATAATTCACCAGTTTCTAATGGTCTGTCTTTATAGCCAACTTTACCCAAAATATATACTTTGGTGTTGGGCAGGTGTTTCAGTTCCTGCTAACTTGCCCACTCAAATGCTTTGGGAAGGAGTTGTTGTTTTCTTTTTTTTTTCTTTCTAGCAGTGGGGCACAGTTGAAATTCTTTTTGCTGGGGTTCTCTAGAGATTATATTCCGATAAATGGAGAATACATCAAATGAAATGAAGCTTTCAAGAGACCTGTATGTGATGGGAAATGTATGTGATGGGAAAATGTCATCTATAATATAACTTTCTGATATCTGTGCAGTTTTAATTACCACAACATTCAAAAAATTGTAATATAGTATTCTGCCTGGGGGCAGATTATTTCCAGTGGCCAACGACTGGCCAGTTGTCTGCCATCATAAGGTTTTCAAGATGTTGCACACACCAGTGGTCAGTTTTGAAAAACTGAGTGTCTAAGCCAGAGGTCTCAAACTCCATTCCCCCGGGGTCCACTCGACAAATTTTTTTTTCTTCCATGGGGGCCGCTTGCCAAAAATTAATACTTTAAAAAAAAAAGTTACTATATCTGGTGTGGTACAATGGACCCCAATACACACACAATAAGGCCCCATTCATCTACGTTTTTAGGTGCGATTTAGGGATTTCTGCATCAGGAACTTGCGTCTTCCTGCAGCAGGGATGCCAAATCTAGTGTTTTACAAGTGATAGCTGTTATCCATTCAAGTTCATGATCAGGTGACATCTGCTGCATGGAAACTCCTGCACACCGCATGTAATGGTATGTGATATTACATGCGGTTAGAAAACCTGGATCATTAACTTGAATGGGTGACAGCTGTTGCTTTTAAACGTCAGATTAGGCATTCCTGCTTTAGGAAAACGCAAGTTCCTGATGCAGGAATCTCTAATCGCATGTAAAGATGCAAATAAAATACACCCCCTTCCCCATACACATAGAAAAATACTACTACTCCTGCACAAATAAAATGATACACCCCCCCCATACACAAATAAATACTACCCCTGCAAAAATATAATACACTCCTCCCCCCATATAAAATACAATCCCAGTCCCCCACACACCCACATATAAAATAACATACAGAGCCCCCTCTCCTGCTTACCTTTTTGCAGGGTGGAGGCTTAGGAGGCATGATCTGTTATTGATTAGTAAGACCTTAGTAATCAATCCTTTTCAGGTAGCGTTCAGTGAAGGATTTCAGAGCGCTGTCTGAAAGGATCTGAGTGCCGGCACAGAGGAGCAGCTTTGCGGTCTGCAGACCGTGTAGCTCCTACCACAAGTCAGGTACGCGGTCTGTGACCACATACCGGACTTGTGAGCTGGCTGCGGGCCACAAAGTGCCATGCTCGCGGGCTGGTACTTTGAGACCACTGGTCTAAGGGCTGAGTAAATTGTATTTATGCTCCGTGTAAATGCCAGTCCAAACTGTATAGAATATACAGTATGTATAGAAGGCACTTATTTTCATCGGCATGCCTAATTTTCAACCTTAGGGGTTTTTTTTTTTTGTTTGTGTTGACTGTCATCGGACTAATTATAAAAAGCAAAAGAGTTGAATCTTTAGTTATTCAAGATATCATTTGAATAAGCACTTTACTGCAAATTGGACAGTGCTGCTATTGTCTGTGTAGCCTGATAAAGTTGTAAGTACATGATTCATAAACCAAGGTGCAAAATGAAAATGTGTTTTTAAATTGTACTGGTTTAGCTACATGAGAGTCCAGTTTTATAAATACACTTTAAATTGTTCAGGATTATGAAAAAGAGGGGGGAATAGAATATTTATCTCACAGCTTGTCAAGCCCATCTGGAAATTGGTCATCTGGAAAATTTGCTAAAATTAATCTAGTTGAACGCCTATTGCAAGTTTACTTGTGTATTGCTGGAACTTTTTTCCTCACCAGAAGAATATTCCCACCTGGTTAATTTAGATTTAAAATGTCAACGTTTAATTCTAGCATAAAATGAGATTCATATCCCAGGCTGAAAAGTCCTCACAAAAGATCCGAAACCGTAGTTTAAAGTATAAACCCTTAAAAAAAAAAAAACACCCCCTTTAAAAATTGGTGTTCCCTTTTTAGTGACCTATTGTCACAGTAAGACAAATGAAACAAAGGTACCTGGTCAAAGAAACATTAAGCACAACTATGGGCATTTTTAAAAATAAATGTTTACTACCTATTTGCTCTTAATCAATCTATTTTTATAGCAGCTTAGCCTACCTGGATAGTACACCTTACACTGTATTCCCTGACAATTGCCAACAGCCACAATACTGGTGTAAAGGAACACCATTCCAGAATTGTCCTCTCCCACAAGCTATGTATTAACATTCGCAAAGCACAGCCATTTATCCTCTACACCAGCCTCGCTGATGTCCTGCAATTGCAGGAAGTACAGCTGTTCTACCAGGGTAAAGTAGAAGGGTCCAGCTTTACAAGTTTTGAAGCAGAAATAATTCACAAAGGTAATTGGTAGGTAAAGGAATAGTGAGAACATTTAATGGTGGCCAGAGGTGGGCTTTGCACTCTTAGAGCTAGGGGCACCACTCTATTGGACACCATGGGATGTGTCAGATAGCATAAAACAGCATAAAGTTTTCCTGGCACACTCACAAGCTAGCATGTAAAAAAAGCTTGTCTCGCCACTAAGGTTAAAAACAGAGGTTTGGATACACGTGTTCTGCAGAAAATGTGAAAGCCGCACAGCCGTGCCAAGGCACTCTTATAGTGCGGTCCTAACTCTAAACTATCAGTTTTGGTGTGTCGGATAGCATGTCCCTCACTGGGCACATACACAGAACACAAATTCAATGAATCTACATTATATAAAGTAGGGTTGCACAGATACCAAGTACAGTACTCGGTACATGTACCGATACTTTTGAGCTCCTAGACTAGAGAAAAATTCAAAAATTAGGAGGCAGCTGTCATTTGTAAGGAGCACACGGAGCTCCTTAGATTTCTACATCTGTGTTTTAATGTACGATTTAGTTTTTATAAATAAAGGGATGCACAGACACCAGTTTTGCGAGTACTGGTACTTGCGGAGTACTTACAAGTACTGACATTTTTGTTGTCATGTGACAGTTTTTCTAAAACAATACAGACTAATGATTTCAGGACAGTGGTGGAGTGCCAGAACCAGGTCCCAGCTGCAACCCTGGTAATTCTCATGATAATGCCAAGTATCTGCACTGGTATTCAAAGTATCTGTGCATCCCTAAATAAAGGGCTTGTGCACACTTGCATTTCATTTTTTATGCATATATACTTGCTATCTCCCCACCTTGCCAGCATTTTGTTTTAATGTTTACATGCATACAGTCTATAGTGCAATGGTGTCCTATTGATTTGTTAGGACACGAGGCAAGTTGAGCCACCTTTTGTCGGATCAACAAAGGATGCTAAAAGCCATCTGAATCCTAGCAACAAAGGAAACGAGGCAGCATGGAGCTGCCGGTGTCCTAGCAAAGGAGGATGCGAGACCTCATTGAGCCACCTGAGCAATAGCAACCAAGGTACTAGGCAGCACAGAGCCATTGACTACGCCATACACAGGACTACATGCAGAGATGCAGCTTTTTCCTTTATGAATCTGAATGTAGTGCAAGATCACAAACAAAACCTCAATTCCATGGGTGTATAGACTATAATAAAAATATATATTATATTTCTCAAACAAAGCAGACAAATGCCCCACATTCTCTGCCTACATGCCTGGCTGTTACCCAAGAAAATGCAGGGTCTAGCTCTCCTGCTTTCCATGCAG